GGTCAAAAAAAAAAAAAAAAAAAACATTATTGACAGGTAAATGGAAATATTTGAAGTTTATTGAAGAAAACTGATGTAGGAATTACTTTCAAACAGTTTCCACTCAAATTTTGCTAGTAAATAAAAAAAAACAGCAAGTAACACATTGAATTAAACGTAAATTTCAGATGTATACTGAAATAGCATTTTCTTGTTAGACATACTCTAATAACCTTCATTTAGAACTTCAAGAAAAAAACATTTTCTGCAGAGTCTAATTCTGTCACAAAGACAGATGTGACGTGTGTAGTGTCTGGACCAATCAGACCTGCGGCATTGTAGAATAAGTCCCGGTAATGTTGAGGAAAGAATGAGCTAATGGAACTAAACACGTTTTGAGAACAGGAACCCCTCTGCCTTTGATGTAGAGACTAATGAGTCTTTTGCATTCTTGAGTCATTTGCATAAAAGTACCATATTTTGTACCGAGGTACAGGGATGGTATCAGACATGGTACTTCAGCATTAATTATTCATATTTCCCCATGAATGAGCTGATTCGCTACACGTGTCAGGATCTATTTCAGTGATATCTGTCAGGTAATAGGATGTGTGATATTCAAAAACAAAGTGTTTCAGTATTTTTAAAGAAAAGCCAATTCTTTATGGGTGCTCTAAAAATATGTTATGAGGTTGGAGGTATAAAAAAATATATTAATGCATTTGGCAGATGCTTTTTTTGGCAGACCCTTTGGATTTTATTCAAAAGACAAGTACTTTTTTTATGAGTGACCAGCTGACAAAGTTACTTAAGTAAAAATATATTTTGGTTAGTCAGATTCTACACTTCAAACTTGGATGGATGGATGGAAAAATAAAAAAAATAATCAATGCTGAAAAGGCCAGCAACTGTGAGCGAGTGTAAATTATGTGGTCAGTACATATCAAATTATCAGATGCCTGAATCAATTTCCCTTGTGCAGAACTGCTGAATTGTGAGAAAAAACCATAATGAGTTTCAGACAGATTTTCCCCTGAGCAAACATCGTCAGCACTGTGGAGTCTGAGGGAGAACAAATTCTCAGGGTGTCTAGTTTACCCCTCCCACCATCCAAAACACACACTGACATGAAAATTAAAACATGCTCTTCACTCACACAATGCCGCATGTCCTTCAACATGCCCATTTTGCGAGCTTTGCAGTGTTAAAGGAGCAGGTCGACTAAAAAGGAAAATTCTGTCATTATATACTCACCTGTAGTCTGTCATTTTTTCCTAAGGAACACAGAAGCAGAAATCTGCATGCACAAAATAGCTGAACGAAGATTCTTCTAAATAAATAACAACAGAATTTTCATGTTTGCATGGGCTGTTCCTTTAATCTCACATTGATCTGTGCATAAGCAGCACTGTCGTCAAATAATGAAAATCTATTCTGATTAACAGACGATTTATGCAAGCTCTAATAGGTGGCTTGCATGCACTGAAGTGCATTTTTGTGCACACAAGGGGCACAAGAGACATTTTACACATGGAGTTCTCTATCTGAAATTTGGCGCCTGCATAGAGAAAAAACTCCCCCCACAGGGCAAGAATGATTAAATTTGTGTTCATCATGGTAAAGGGCTCAAAAAGTGGAATCAAACATCATTTCAAAGCAAGTATTCATCCATTCACAGCACACCGAGAGCTATTATTCCCTCCCTGATGCCCCATGCGTTCTCTGACAGATCAATAATACAACAATAGTACTCCAAACCCATACGAATCACCCAGCGTGTCTGGTTTTCTTCATCTTTCTGATATTAACCATTTCACCAAGTGTGACTGTCTCAGAACGATCAAAAAGATGAGAGCTCGGAGTAGATGTCAAACGCAAATCACACAGCACGTTAGTGTCAAAACCACAGCAACGCAACATTTGTTTCTGCAATGAAATTATCATCAGGTTCACATACCACCATTTACTGAAAATATATTAAGCAATTTGCATCATCGATTTCAGAGAGAATCAAAGCCAAGTAATTGCATGTAGATAATCAGCATGAACGATATTCACAAAGAATCGGGTGGAAATGAATATCGGGCCATCTGCTGGACCTCTAAAGAATAGCCACAAACAACAACAATACATGTCTTTTCAACATTAAAATTACGAAATTATAGGCCTAAATATCATTATCAATTACAATGAATCTTCAAATAATATATGCTAATATAATAACTATTAATTTGGCAATATTAATATAACAACAACAGCATAAATAAATAATCATAATGAGTCATTATTAATATTTAATTCTTATTATTGTTTACATATTGCACATCAGCCACTTAAAAGCGAAAATAACCATTATCGGTTTCTGAATATCGGTTGTGCTGATAATGCCACCTGCTGGGTCTAAAGAATATCCACCAATTACACCACTGTCTGTTCAACATTAATTAATTAATTAATTAGAAAACTATAAATATATACTTTAAATGTCAATTAATATTAATATAATATATGCTAACATAATAACCACGACTATGCCAATAAAATATACAGCAACAACAACAGCAAGAACCAAAACAGCAATAATAAAACTTTCATGATGAGTCACTAGTCTCATGGCTATTTAGTTATTATTATATGCATATTGGATATCAGACATTTAAAAATAAAACTAACATTATCGGTTTCTGAATATCGGGTCTACCAATAAATGCCACCTGCTGGTTCTCTAAAGAAACGCCACCAACAACACCACTACACTGTCTTTTCAACATTAAAATTATAAAACTATAAATATACATTTAAAATGACAGTTAATATTAATATATGCTAATAAAAAGATCATGACTATGACAATATAACAACAACAGCAAGGACCACAACGGCAAGAACTCAGCAATGAGTCACCAGTCTAATGGTTATTTAATAAGAATATATGCATACTGCATATCAGAAATTTAAAAATGAAAAATAACCATTATCCGATTATGCATATTGGGGTCTACTGATAAATGCCACCTGCTGGATCTCTAAAATATAGCACGCACCCAACAATGGCATTACACCCCTATGCAAAACAACTGTTACCATATAATATTATAATTAAATACATCAAAATATAGTAATATAGAAAGAAAAACATTTTATAATTATATATGCACGTGTAGGATACATTCTATGAAATTTGTAAAAAAAAAAAAAATGAAAGTAATTTAATGAATATGAATATAGGCATATTAATACAATTAATAGTGTAAAATAAGTAGTATTTGATAATATATATAATTATGTTAAACAGCTGTTTTGCATATTGGTTATTATCAGACACCTAAACAAAACAAAAAACACAAGAAAGAAAAACATTTTATAATTATATATGCACGTGTAGGATACATTCTATGAAATTTGTAAAAAAAAAAAAAATGAAAGTAATTTAATGAATATGAATATAGGCCTATTAATACAATTAATAGTGTAAAATAAGTAGTATTTGATAATATATATAATTATGTTAAACAGCTGCATATTGGTTATTATCAGACACCTAAACAAAACAAAAAACACACAACGATGTCGGTAATAAAAAAAATAAAAATAAACAATAAACAATATTGGTCTCAAAATCTGTAAAGGCATCCACTGACTTTTTACACACAGAGATAGAGGCGAGGAAAGCCGTCTTTTTCCCCCCAAGTGTTGATATGCAGAACTCGTGTGTTGTGGAGCGCACTTGTCTCTATGATTTGATAACACACGCATACACACACACACACATGATTCATTGGCAGGTAGACCCCCGGAGCCGCATTAGTATTCCACTCCAGGTCCCAGCAAAGAATGAGGCAAGGAACGAGTGAGGAACATGTTCTCTACAGAAGAATGCTAAGAATTGCAACTTACCTTTCCACAGCAACGCCAAGAGCAAAGCGAGCGCGTGTCGCAACATTGCGCAGCTCATGTTTTGAGTTGATTGTTTGTTATTTCTCTGTGTCAGTTCTTGCAGCAACAGTCCGTTTTTAGCTTCTATGAACGGGAACACGCATAAACCGCAGTTGTCCGTCCGTGTGTGTCCTATTTCACGAAACGTCCGCAGTCTACAAATCTTCCAAGTGTGTCAGGAGTGCCACAAGACGGGTCGATTTTCCCAAGTGACCCTTTGCAAGGAGACCAAACACAATCTGTTGGCGTTTGGAGTGCCAGAGAATGTATAAATAAATCCTTGCGCGAAAAAAATATTGTGTATACCTCCTCAGATTTTTTCCTTCAATACAAGGGCATCCACAGAAAAAGAGAGAAGCGACAGTTGAGATGGTTTAGTGGGATGTTGTGTGCTCAGTGAATCAGAATCACTGTGCATCGCTTCAGAGCGGAGCACGAAAGAAGCGTCTGATTGACAGCTCAAGGAGAATCTCCTCCACCAATCAGCGAGCGTCGAGGAAGTGGGCCGGGCACCAAGAAGGAGATTCGACCAATCGTGAGCACGGAGGGGCGGAGACTCCAACAGCGCTATGATAATATAAGGTGATTTATAGCACGCTCAGTGCACTGCAGTACTGGAGGAAAGGTGTTTGCGTGGACATGCACGTTAGTGCTTTATGTTCACTATTGGGAGAGGTGATTTGCGTGGGGAAACTTAGCAGAGAAGTGTTTAGAAATAACCCACTTGATTTATTGGGTCATTTCTAAAGTGCGGTGCATTTTTGTGCACCCATCTGACTTAATAGCCTAAATATTAAACTCACAATTTTTGAAGATGAAAACCATATTAGTTACAAATGCATTTCACTGCTTTGGTTTGAGTGGATGTTATTATTTTTGCCATGTCCCCAACTTCTAAAATAAAAAGTAGGCTAATTTATTCAGAAATATTCCAAGTAATGCTTCAAATAAAACACTGTTCCGATTGAAAATAAAATGAAATAGGTCACTGTCATCAATATCACTCTCCATTCCATTAATTAACAAAAGCCAGTTGCTTCATGACATCAATCATCTTCCAGGAAGCGGCATCATATTGGAAGGAAAACACCACTAATTGGATTTGAATAATTCTGTGATGTTTTGTTGTATCAGTTCATTTGTTGGTCCAGTCAGTCCGTCAAAGAACAGTGACAAAACATTTATGTATGCATATTCAAAAAGCATAACAGACCCACATTTAACTAACAAAAACAGTTACCTCATGACATCATCCTCCAGGAAGTGACATCATTTTGGAGGGAAAACACCACCAGCAACACTAAAGATTGAAATAATTCTTTGATGTTTTGTTGCATTAGTTTGTTTGTTAGTCCAGTCAGTCTGTCACTATGCAATCACTATTTTGTATGCATATTCATTTTTAAAAATTACAGAGTATATAATCACCCACCTGACTGCAGGTGCTGAACTTGATATTGTTATGATTTTATAATATTATATGGAAACAGTGGTGACTTTGGTTGTGGTTTTGACACAGATTCGCGCCGTTGATGGTAATTTGGCGGGAATATTCACACCGTTCTTTCACAAGGTCAATGGCTCTGGAGAATTGTGCTCTAACAGGGTGTTGACTGTCATCTGAAGATTGATGGCTGATCTGACTGAAGTGAAGGGATGTCGCAACAGCATTTGAATATCAATATATGAACTCTGTATGATGCTGAGCCTTTAAAAAGGATAGTTCACTCAAAAAATGTTTTCAAAAAGTCATTATTTACGGTCATTTCAAGACGATCAACCACTAATAGGAGTATTGCAGGCGACTTGGCCAACTCATTCAAGAGTTATGTCTGTGTGGGCTCTAATTCGACCTCTAATGCAAATGTAACTGGTTTATGAGTGTAAAGTGCTTTGAGGCTTACTAAGCATAAAAATGTTTTGTAAGTAGTAAGTACACTCATTTGGCATCTGTCTGTGAAATCAATTGTCAAACGGTTTAGAGATCTTATGAACCTTGCCTTGACTTTGAATAATTTTTGTCCTGATATGTTGCATTTATCACATCAATGGCTCAGAGTTTAATTTAATATGCATGCTAGTGTTAAATGGCAGCCAAGCTAACAGAGAACATTCTGGGAAGGTTCTCTCAACGTTATAAACAAACATTCTTCCAGTAACATTATTAGAATGTTCGTTCAAAGTTATCCAGTCTTTAATAAACGTTAGTTTAGTTTTTTCTGAAACGTTTTAGTTGGATATTCGTCTAACATTTTAACTACTTGTTTTAGAACATTCAGAGAACATTCAAAAGTCACATTCCCCTAATGCAAAATCATAAAATGGAATGTTTCCTGATAAATAAATAAACAAATAAGCATCATCAAGGGAAATTCTTTTTTTTTTTAAACATTTAGAAAACTGAGCATTTCGAACTTTCAGAGAATATTCTGAAATAACATGTTCATAACTTAATGGAAACATTAACAAAACATTCTCCGAATTTTTGCTAGTTGTGAGATTGAAAGTTGTACTGTTTGTTTTTGACGCTCAGAGAAAAATTTCACCAGAGCAGATGTGGTATAATTTCCATTTCAAGATTGCCATCTCCGAAAGCCGTTGTCCCTCTTCCATTCAGAGAAACTTTCAGATAATATTCTGAAATAACATGTTCATAACTTAATGGAAACATTAACAAAACATTCTCCGAATTTTTGCTAGTTGTGAGATTGAAAGTTGTACTGTTTGTTTTTGACGCTCAGAGAAAGATTTCACCAGAGCAGATGTGGTATAATTTCCATTTCAAGATTGCCATCTCCGAAAGCCGTTGTCCCTCTTCCATTCAGAGTTCTTTGTGACAGCCCAAGACCTTTTCAAATGCAATCACGTTTTTCGATAAGTCTCAAGATTTTTCGGCGGCCCTACTCTTATAGTCTCTGCGACCTGCTTTGGTTTATCATTGTCATTTTTCTGTTCAAATTCGCTCACGCCCACACGACTCCTCCAAGAGCAGCATCATCACAACAGCAGCACACACTTGTTACATTGCTCCCTTCCAGTAACATTATTAGAATGTTCGTTCAAAGTTATCCAGTCTTTAATAAACGTTAGTTTAGTTTTTTCTGAAACGTTTTAGTTGGATATTCGTCTAACATTTTAACTACTTGTTTTAGAACATTCAGAGAACATTCAAAAGTCACATTCCCCTAATGCAAAATCATAAAATGGAATGTTTCCTGATAAATAAATAAACAAATAAGCATCATCAAGGGAAATTCTTTTTCTTTTTAAACATTTAGAAAACTGAGCATTTCGAACTTTCAGATAATATTCTGAAATAACATGTTCATAACTTAATGGAAACATTAACAAAACATTCTCCGAATTTTTGCTAGTTGTGAGATTGAAAGTTGTACTGTTTGTTTTTGACGCTCAGAGAAAAATTTCACCAGAGCAGATGTGGTATAATTTCCATTTCAAGATTGCCATCTCCGAAAGCCGTTGTCCCTCTTCCATTCAGAGATCTTTGTGACAGCCCAAGACCTTTTCAAATGCAATCACGTTTTTCGATAAGTCTCAAGATTTTTCGGCGGCCCTACTCTTATAGTCTCTGCGACCTGTTTTGGTTTATCATTGTCATTTTTCTGTTCAAATTCGCTCACGCCCACACAACTCCTCCAAGAGCAGCATCATCACAACAGCAGCACACACTTGTGATATTGCTCCGGCTCAGACTGCTCATATATCTGGAGAAAGCTAGCAATGGCAGCTGCTCGGCTGGCACATTCAGATCTGGGATAATGCAACCTGGAGGCTGCTCGGTTTCTGATTTTTTTTTTTTTTTTGCTGTGGCATTAAAGGCTTAATAAAGACCTCCAAAAACAGGAGAATTTTATTTATTTTTTTGGTTTTGTTTTTGCAATTTGTTGCTTGCGGAAAAAAAAGAAGTCACCCCCTTCATAATGAAGTTTATTACTTCAGCGAAACCATGTGCCTGCAATGCTTTGCATCGACTGAAGTAGTTTTCTGGCCTATTTTGAAAACAATGACTGCTTACAAAAACAGTGCAATTTCCCAGTAATTTCATACAGTGACAAAAATGTAGTGCATAAACAATTTTCACAAAACAATTACAGTTACAAATGGCAAATCATTCCTGAAATTACAACAATGTACAACTTTGAAAAATCTTGTTTTTTCCTAAATTGTAAATTTAAAATGAATCAAACAGATGTGAATAAATACATTGAAGCCCACACAGGCCATGCATGATTTTTATTTTTTATTTTTTTTACTTAAAATCTTTTTTTTTTTTTTTCAAAATAACCTCACAAAACAATCTTGAGTTTTTTTTTTATATTTGAGGTTTTTATAATATATAACTCTAATTCATGGCATAGATCATACTAACAATAAATAACTAATATCTTGGCACATTTTTGCAATACACAGAAGAAAATGGCATAAGATTTACAATTTTCACTCGGGAATGTGTACATTTCACAAATAATGACAAAGAAGTAACACACTGAGTTAAACCTGAAAGACTGAAACAGTATTTTCTTATAAAACACTCCAATAATCTTTGTTTTACTTACAACTACAAAAAAAAAATCATTGTTTACAGTGTATAGCGTATGTGTTTTATTGCCTGTCTCTCTGGATTTCTTGATTCATCACAGGCCAAGTGATTTTCTAGTTGCGCTTCTTTCATGTCTCTCATATCACTCCATGTCTCTTTCTTCTAACATAATGAAATCATTTCAAACTCAAATCAATATTTCATTTCCATATGTTTATGCATTTGGTAAGCAGCTGTGTAATATGTAGGATAATTTACAGGCGGCCAGTCATTATCATAAACTAAACCTTCAGGGTCCTGATCATGCTGTCAGGCTCTATTTTGCAATAATGTCATCAAACAAAACAAATCCTTCAAAACGTTTTAAATTTAAACCATCGCTTCTAGACAAAATATGAGTCCATAATCCATAATAACTCTTCCTCCAGTGAAAAAGTCCATCTCCTGTTGTCTCTCACATCAAAATCCATACACGTATTTGTTTAGAGCTGTTTTCTCTTGTAAACAGTGCTTGATCTGAGCAGATTTCTCTCTTGATTCAGACCAGATGATATGGATAGACGACTTGTATTTTAGTAATGGTTTGAAGTTAAAAACGGATTCGTTTCTTGCAAACACGCAGCTTTTCACTTCACAAGATGTTAACTGATGGACTGGAGTGGTGTGGATTACTTGTGGATTATTGTGATGTTTTTATCAGCTGTTTGGACTCTCATTCTGACGGCACCCATTCACTGCAGAGCATCCATTGATGAGCAAGTGATGGAATGCTACATTTCTCCAAATCTGATGAAGAAACTCGGCTACATCTTGAAGGGCCTGAGGATGAGGAGATTTTCATCACATTTGCATTTGTGGGTG